GGAATGAAATATAATCCTCCCTGCATACCCGGACTGGGAATGAAATGTAATCCTCCCTGCTTACCGGGACTAGGACTGGGAAAAATGTTTTTTTTTTCTTTTTCTGGACGAGTGTCTAACATGTGAATTTAAGTTTTCTTAATTTAATTGGGAAATTCTCTCTCTCTCTCTCTCTCTCTCTCTCTCTCTCTCTCTCTCTCTCTCTCTCTCTCTCTCTCTCTCTCTCTCTCTCTCTCTCTCTCTCTCTCTCTCTCTCTCTCTCTCTCTCACAGTTGCATGCTTGTTACACTGATAACACCGATGGACCTAATGTCGTCGCAGAGTAAAAACATGCCTTATCATTACATATAGCTTCATATCAGAGCAGTGTTAAATGTTGATACTAACCGACATAAGCCAGAGGCATATTCTGTCTCCAGAAATAGCCGAGGTGGTCCAAATGTTTTGCTTAAGATATTATCAGTTGGCACGTAGTAAATACATATAAGTGTTTGAGTGACATATGATGAAATTACCAGTTTCTTTCAGGCACCATATATTGAGACCAAACACGGCACACACATGGTAATGATGAAAGATGAAAGTTACCGTATGTTTGCAATTAATCGAAAGATACAAACTTATCTAGTTAAATTTTCATTTCTTTTGAACTATGCTGACGGGTAATGTGGTTTACTAACTGATACTCATATCTTTCAAATATTCTACAGCAATAATGTTATTTCTTTCTTCGGTAATAACCTACATCAATGCTCTGTTATCCCTTTCTTCTAAATACCCTACGGTAATGGTATATTATTCCTTTCTTCTAAATACCATACAGTAATGCACTGTTATCCCTTTCTTCTAAATACTCGACACCAATGCTCTGTTATCCTTTTCTTCTAAATACCCTACAGTAATGATCTGTTATCCCTTGCTTCTAAATACTCGACAGCAATGCTCTGTTATCCCTTTCTTCTAAATACCCTACAGTAATGCTCTGTTATCCCTTTCTTCTAAATACCCTACAGTAATGATCTGTTATCCTTTTCTTCTAAATACTCGACAGCAATGCTCTGTTATCCCTTTCTTCTAAATACCCTACAGTAATGCTCTGTTATCCCTTTCTTCTAAATACCCTACAGTAATGGTCTATTATTCCTTTCTTCTAAATACCATACATCAATGCTCTATTATTCCTTTCTTCTAAATACCCTATATTAATGCTCTGTTATCCCTTTCTCCTAAATACCCTACAGTAATGATCTGTTATCCTTTTCTTCTAAATACTCGACAGCAATGCTCTGTTATCCCTTTCTTCTAAATACCCTACAGTAATGCTCTGTTATCCCTTTCTTCTAAATACCCTACAGTAATGCTATGTTATCCCTTTCTTCTAAATACCCTACAGTAATGGTCTATTATTCCTTTCTTCTAAATACCATACATCAATGCTCTATTATTCCTTTCTCCTAAATACCCCACAGCAATGCTCTGTTATCCCTTTCTCCTAAATACTCGACAGCAATGCTCTAACTGTCATCACATTCTTCTTAACTCTGTACGAAGTATTTCTCTCAATATGACTTTGTATTTCATCTTGGCATTACCATTTCACATTGCACAAATATAATAATCATTATTAACAAAAATCTAAGATAGTGAATCATACAAAAATGCACAAAACAGTTCTTATTGCAATAGACGACAGTTGCCGTCTATTAATTTGGTTTGCTTGTTTTATCTTGTTTTCTTCTCTTGTTTTAATGTCACTTTGAACACATTATTGGCTATATTATACGGAAAAATAGGAGTAGACTGTCATTACCAAAGACATAACAAAGACATGCGATCCGGACTGGCCTGGATGGGTATCGAACCCGCGGCTCTTGGATTATATGTCCAAAGCTATATTACCAAATAGCTAGCGCGGTCCCCTTTCGTCCGTGATTATGCATCTTTTAATATAATATATGATGCTTACATAATAATTGCATTTGTGGTGTGACAAATGATTTAAATTAGACAATTTTTTTAATCAAGTTTCTATCGGGTTTACAAGTTCTTGCAATTCAGGTAAATACAGTTTGATTGTGCATGTAGTAGGACATCAGAAAACTCGCCGCCCCCTTCCCCAACCACCCGACCACCACCCCCGACCTTCATCAGCAAACCTTTACTTGTGCCAGTTCCCTAGAACTGGTTTTAAAAATAGGTCTTTAATTTTACATATATTGTTCTCGAAATAGACGAAGAGCAAACAGGTGTAGTAAACACTAAGTTAGCTATATCGTGTTGTTTATGTGTATTAAATGTAATGGCGTGATTCCAGCAATCAATAATTAAGATTAAGCACACCCGGTGCCGTTCAGTAAAGTCATGACACGGACATGACATAGGAAATTAACCTTTTTAGATAACCGATATCATGCCAACCCCAATAATTGGAAACCCTAACTACTTTTCTTAAGAGGAAGGCTGTTTTTGACAAATACAGTGTAATCTTTCAGACAAAGCAATAATAGACAGACATTTTACCCCCTGACCGTAATCTAGAATTGAAATTAGCTAGAAAATGTATCCATGAGAGGCTGATTTCAAGACGCGACTGTTTACATCACGTAGACATACGCAAAGGCGATTTTGGCGTAGCTATTAATTATTAAATATTGGTTACAATGTCTTAATCTGTACATTTGATGTGAAATACAGTTGTATTTCCTTTAAATTTGAACAATATCGATCTTTCTTTCCGTAGAAAATTGTTTGGTTACGTCTACCGTTATCACCACTATCACTGCTTCTGCTACTAATGATGTTGACGAGGGTTATGATGATATTGATGACAATAATGACGACGCCATAGATTGGATCGATTAGATTTGATCGTTGATGTTTTCACTGTTTGGAAACTATTATAAAAGTAAATATGAATTAAAATCATCATTCTTGGACACATGTCTAGTAACGTTTTTGAACTCTTGAATCTCTAATAGAGTATAAATTTTCAATGTTGCAGATACACCATTAGCATTTGTTTAGGAACTTGATAGTTGCATCTTGGGTTCTTTAGAGAAAGGAAGACACCCCCCCCACACACACATTTCTTTAATACAGGTCCTGACTTCACTAATGAGGATCATGGCCTCATTGACCCGAATCCTGGTTTCGTTCTGGCATCATTGATACGGGTCCTTGTCTCGTTAATATGGGTCCTTGCCTGACGAAAAAGCGAGATATCTGATGGTAGGATCCATACGTCGTGGACCAACCAACCAATTTTTAAGATACGGATCATGTATGCAATGACTGAACACTGCTCAAAAAAAACCACTTCCGTGCCAGAATAGACATCCGTGTGATTTTCGTGAAAAATTTCAATTACATATTGACCTACCTTTCTCATGTTTGAAGTGATGCTTTTATTCTGAACAAAAATACTATACTAATGTTTTAAAACTGGAAAAAAAGAAACTATAAATATATTTATATCAGTTGGTACATCGAGATAACCCGAATTTTTACGTTTTAAAACAATTGAAAGAGTAATTTACATCTAGAAAGTAAAAGGCTTTTTAAAATGTTTGTAAGTGAAAATAAAGGGTAAATGATTTAATACACATTGAATGGAGCAGCAAAAAGCCATAAAAGTGAATACACACATGGTGTTTAATGATAAAAACGTTTCCATCACCTCAGTTCTTGTAAATTCAATTTCTGCCATTTTGTTACAAATCGAGACACGTGACCACTGTCTGGGAGATAGAAGCTGATGAATAAGAGATTTTATCGTGGGGTTTTGGACTGGAACTGGCATTTTACAGACTGGAGACCACACATGATCCTATTCAGTGAATAATCAGAGAAGAATTCAAGTCCATATGGGAAACCAGCATTATTTCTTGAAGTCTTAACCAGCAGCAGCGTGGTTACAGTTTATAAAGCAAATGTTAAATCTCATAGAAGGGAGCAAGCTCACTGGCATGCAGGTATTTGAAGAAAAAAAATATTTTCTAGATTGGCGCTGGATAAAAGAGATATCTGATGAGAAGCAACATGTTCACACTTTCTGTTCTTGTTTATCTTTACATCTCAAACCCGTTCAATAGCACATAAACGGTTTAGGTGTCGATAGATATTGCAAGCATACTCAGACAAGTGTTTGCATACGCATATTCGGGATGGTCGTACCAATTATCACGTTGTCATTGGCCAGGGTGGTGACAACAGTGGCCCGAAGAAGGTAAAATGGATGCATAGTGCTAAAGTAGATCGTACTGAAAAGATCAAAATTTAAAATAATATTGATTTACACGATGTTCATAATTTGTTATTCGTTTTTAAAACTATATTTACATTTAACAAATTTCAACTACATGCAGGGAATGCTATAATGATTCATAGTGATTGCCAATATAAACAATCTCACTTCCTGATAATTTGCTCAAAAATATTTTTGTTACGTTAGGTTGAGGAATTGTTCTTCTCAACGTTGTTGTATTCATTTATTTTCGTCCAAATAATTTCTTCCTAACATCTAACACAGCATACTGTTTTCTTTTCTATCATCGTTCTTAACATTGTCTACACGATTCAGCTCCAAGATATCTATTTATTTACACACACACACACACATACACACACACATACACACACACACACATGAATCTATGGTCTGAAAATAAGTAATAGAAAAGAGAGGAAGCATTAAAAGTTAAAAATATTATTAAAAAAAACTTAGTCGGTATTGCGAAGTAAAACCCCCAAAAAGTTCTGAACAAACTTTAATGGCGTGCGTGTGATTCAGGTTTTTAACGTAGCTTTAGCATTTTTTCAGTTATATCGCCTTTATGTATGCAGTGTGACAGGTTACAACTGGGGCATCATGCCGCAGACATGTGGCCTGATGTTCCACCCAGTCACATTATTTTGACACCAGGCTGACCAGTCCTAACGCTAGCCTCTTAAAGCTTAGCGCCAAGCGAGGCAGCTGCTAGTGCCATTTTTAATCTTTGGAATGACTCAGACGGTGTTCGAACCCGCTACCTCCCGCATTTGAGGCGGACTCTCTATCCACTAATACACCAGAGCGGTAAACTTTAATGGTAAACCAAACTAAATCTAACGCTGAAAGTGTTGATTTGCCTGTGGTGGTCCTTGTCGTTGTGATGTTCCCCAGTCTTTTGTTTTATTACGATAATACAATTCAAGAAAAAAATCTTAATTTGAATTTCACTGTAATTCAAATATCTATTTCCAAGAATGTTATTTTTGATGAACGCTTTGTATTTCCAGTGAATAAATAACTTGAATATATAAATTTTAGCCCAAATGAAATACTGGACACAACAATGATTCTGCCTCAAGATCTCATAGCGCGAATAACAATATTTTTTTTTCAGTAAACAAGATTATATAGTCCTCTATTTCACATCAGGTTATAAATAACATTTTCTAAGAAAAACTAATGGAAAATTTCTTAGTTATAATTAGAGGTATGTTACTAAAATTGTACTAGAGAACCTGTTAAATATAATGTTTTTGACTAAGAGAAAGATAATAATCCTAACCGTTAACCCATAGTCATGTATTAGTTATTTACATAATTAAAAAATAAATGATCCATGTCGGGTAGAAATGAACTTGATTTTGGACAAGGTCAGTTCCAAAATACAATTATCAGTAGCATATAATTAAATAAAAAAGTAACAAACACACATCCATCCACCCCGACAATACATACATACATCCATACATCCATACATCCATCCATACATCCATACATACATACACACACATACATACATACATACATACATGCATGCACGCACGCACATACATACATGCATGCATGCATGCATGCATGCATACATACATACATACATACACACACACACACACATACATACATACATACATACATACATACATACATACATACATACATACATACACACACACACACACACACACATACATACATACATACATACATACATACATACATACATACATACATACATACATACATACATACATACATACATACATACATACATACATACATACATACATACATACATACATACATACATACATACATATATACAAACACACACACATACATACATACATACATACATACATACATACATACATACATACATACATACATACATACATACATACATACATACATACATACATACATACACACACACACACACACACACACACATACATACATACATACATACATACATACATACATACATACATACATACATACATACATACATACATACATACATACATACATACATACATACATATATACAAACACACACATACATATATACATACATACATACATACATACATACATACATACATACATACATACATACATACATACATACATACATACATACATACATACATACATACATACATACATACATACATACATACATGCATACATACATAGAGAGATTGATCGATAGATTGAGAGCAATCTACATGTGCATATCCAGACACGTGATGATGGGATAAAAGACAAAGCTGATGTTAAAAATTGTTTTTAATTGACTCATCTTTGTGTGCTAAACGAAATATAATGAATATCTGTAACCGATAACAACATAACCCTTTTTGTTCTCAAACACAGACATTGCACATTACCCTTTGAAGATAATTACAATAAATGCAATGACAGATATTCTTTTTTTTCTTATAAGAACATTAAGCACACATTTTAACTACTTTAGTTGCAAGATATACTCTTCAGAATAAACTTTAACTTCAATATAAACAATATTTTTGAAGTCAAATAGTTATTAATATTTGACATTTGATGCATGCCTCGTCATTCTTAGCTGTTTTATAAACAAAATTTGAAACCGAATCAATAAAACTATTATTTCAATGAGACACCAGAAGCAAATAAAAGTCGATTTTTAACTGCTTGGTGAAGAGTATGCTTGCGTTTGCTGTCAGATGCGAAATTAAAATTGATTACACAATCTGGTACAATTTGAACCTTTTCCAGTGAGTTCCTTTGTGTTCTTAGCAATGGAAATTTCAAATCGAAAACCATCTTAATTTTCCGGGTATTTTCTTTTCTTGCTTTTCGCTAGGTGACATTTGTAATTCCACTAAACATATGACGAAATATATTGAATTTTGTAAAGAGAAGCAAAATATATATAATAGTTAACATTTATAATTTTAAATTAGTCGAATAGAATGTAACTTTATCATACAAGAATGTCCGTTTCACGTCATTTCACCATTTCACACGCCATTCAGAAATATATCATGACGTGTGGTTTTCTGTTGTCCTTTGAAGTTAGATATATAGCTGATGCATTACGAAAGCTACTACGTTTTATGACTAAGCTTTTACTTCTGTGTTGTTAATGTAGTAATATTCTGACAAGATTTTTTATATAAATATTCAGCTACATTTTTGGACATGTATGTTTCGAAGGAAAAACTTAATATGTCGTTTTGAGGCTTGGTTATGAACGCATATGTCAGGTAACTAAATACTTTAATGCAGACTGCCTCTCAGCCTGCGTACATTGTTCATTACTTAGAAGAAACTGTAAGAATGGATGTATTTTTAAGAATCTACGATCTTATACTAAATAATAGACAAGTGCCTAAACCAGTAAATTTGTAAAATTTAACAAGAAATACCTATGATATTGTGAATTTAATCCCACATATTCATAAACTTTATATCATAAGTCCAAAAGTATGGAGTATTCCGAATGAATTCCAGTGGTGCAACGAACGAAATAAATGCTCTCAAATTCAAACTGAACAAAACTAAAAAAAAAAACGGATTCGACTATTTACATGTTAAAGTAGGAATAAAGAATTTCTATTTATTTCACCTGTATATAAAAACCTAAGTCGTAAGAAAAGGAATAGGACGAGGAAATTAATTTCTAGAACATTCTAACGTGTCCACAATATCAGTTTAATACTAAATATTTAGTAAAGAACACGTAAAACATCAGGTTGACCATTATTTCACAGGGGAATACCAATATATTGAGGTCAGATTCAAATAAACTATTCACCTTCAAGTATTGGTTGGCTTCCGTTAGTCTCGAGAGATGATGGAAATGCGCCAATGAAAGGAGTCCTAGTTTGTTGCTGTGCAGCGTCTTCTGAGACTATAAAGTTCCACACGGGAGTGGCAATCCTTGCTGCAGTTGCTACACCAGCAAGGCAGGCGAGCTGTGGCGGGACGGCACCTTATTGGCTGGGGGCTGCCCAGCTTGAGGCGGGCGATAGCTGTCCAATGAGATCTGTTGGTCTCTCCCACCGTCGGAAGCAACCCCTGGCGTCTAACTCTACGCCAATCGAGTGGTGACTTATAACCGGTAACTGTTGCTTCCCGTGTTGTGTCAACGCTGTGAAGCGAAGCTGGAGTGTCCTCTCCAGGGCGCAAGCCTGGGCAAGGTTATATGGAGAATCAGCTGTTGCCCATGCAACTGACTCTCCCTCTCCACGCAGCTGATGGATCCAAGGGAAAGGACAAGCCGATACGTCAAGGCACCAGCGGCGTCGCAGGAGTTGCCGAGATGTCACTAAATGCAGTGACAAGTCGCCTTAGGGACTCCGTCTCCGGATTTTCTGTTGGGGTTTACTCCCTTCGCCTTTCCCATGTAAGGGTATAGTCGCAAGGCAGCGAAGGTTTGAAATCAGAGTTTATCTTCTCCTAGACGGGCTACCACCCAAGGTTAACGGGCCCCATCTGCCCGAAAAATCTGGTTTTGAGGCGCCAGAAACTCGCCTGCCATCCCTTATCCAGTTAGTTTAAACAGGTTCTGCCGGGCTTAGTAGTTAAGCCACCCGTGAAGGTCTGCAGCTGGATTTGGTTGTCAGAGGCCATCACAGACGCAAGCCATTGGGGGATTTCTAGGGAAATTGGGGGTTTTTATCCAACAACCGCCCACGGCGATAACAACCCTTGGAACCCACCTTCAAGTAATAATGATCTTAAAATACAGTGTAGAATCCTAGACAAAAATGAGTTACGTAATATGTTTGTTTACCCAACAGTATATTTTATGGAACGTGTCGGTTATTCCTAAAAGTTTGGAAATTTGTTAGAACAACGATATCACAAATTCTATTTTAGAATATTTCTTTCACATAAACTCGCTAAACTGAACCTCCATATTAAAATTGTGTCATATCACACATTTAGTATCGGATATAATACTTGCTGTTCTGGACTTATTATCATGAAGATAAAAACTATTCATGTCATTAAATTGAATCTATTTACAATGGCAGAACTAGTAGGGGAGTGTGTCTGTGTTACATTTTATCACATAGTGTGTACACTTTGCATACAATGTTTACGGTTTAATATTTTGTTCAGGTCAGCACGTTAACATATCACTTTATTATGAAGGGGCACCGAGTGGCTGAGTGGTCTAAAGCGCTGTCCGTTACGGATCACTGCCATCTCACCTCTGCCTGCGTGAGTTCGAGTCTAGGATTCGGCGAATGTGGAAAATGTGGATATGTGAGAAAGCTTGCCAGTAGCTTCTCGTGGGTCGGTGGTTCTTTCCGGTGATTTCCCGGTTTCTTCCTCCACCATTAATACTGGCCGCCATGAATAGCCTATCGTGTGCTGAAAAATGGCGTTAAGCCCCACAACAACTTTATTATGATTATTCTATTGGTCCCAATAAGCGCATGAAATTCTTATGCATTATTTTCAATATTAAATTGTTGGACATTTTCTTAACCGTACCTTCTGGAATATATTTTACTATTACTATAAACAATATTCTGTAGCCCAATGGACGTTGCGGGAAAAGAGAGAAGAAAAAAATCAGAGCAATGGTTACATATGCCGGAATATGACCAATTTAACCAAAGTAGAATTATCCGAATGCAAGACTAAAACTAGAATATTGCTGCCATAGATCGTGCACCACGTTCTCAAGAAAGAAAACAATGGATTAGATATCAACCTCTAACAGTAAATAAAATCACAACTCTTATGAAAAAAATGTCGACAAATGCTGTTCATTGGTACAGTGAATCAGGCATGTTTGCATG